TAGTCTTTGGCTGTATACTCCTTCCAACAGCAATTAATAAATAAAAAAAATAATAATAATAAAAAAAAAAAAACAGGAATGTTTATTCTAAAAATCAATAATTTCATTTTGCTCTTCTCTATCAGATTTCAACATTAACCTGGGAACGCCACAACACTTACACTGACCTCTTGTGGCAAGTGCTCGGCAGCGCTCAGACATCCCAGGGAACATCTCTCCCACCCACCCTATCCCGCTCCCAACAAGATGCACAGAAAGAAATATTAAGCAAATTTTGCAAAGCTGTAAAGGAGATCAAGGAGCAGCTTGTAAAGATCCAGTTATTCCTTTAACTAATAACGACTTTATTTGAGGGGGATCTAAATTAACATGATGGTATGAAGCTGTAGTAATTTAAAACTTAAAAAATTAAAAATGAAAATTAAACCACCTAAATCTCCCCCGACTCCAGCAGACATCAGATATGCCTAATTTTCAGGATTTGGCCAAGCTGACTGAAGGAGTAAACAAAACGAGGCCCTTGCGATGGAAAACTACTCACAAATGTCATCTAGTAATGCTTCTTAGTGTAACAATCCACTTTGCATTGATTTACATATCAGCGGGTCCCCTGCAGCCACACAAATTGCAAAATCAACCTTGCACCCAAGAAAGCCCCAATAATTTAAGATCCTTAGTCATCCCTTCACTAACTTCCCCGCAGCCAACAGAACCAGAGGATGGAAACTTTTGCCCCATGATTTTCAGCATCTTTAAGTAGAGATTTATGCAAGTACTGAGGTCCAGATTTTTTTTTTTGCAGAGGATCCCTAATGACAGACACTCTGTAAACTTGAAGTAACTTGCTTTAAACAGCCTTTTTTTTCCTGCACCAGCTGTAGTTTAGCTTGGAGGAGATGAAAATGCAGCTTGTTTTAATTTGAGGGAGAGGAGCCTACATGTGTCCTGTCCAGTGAGAACAACGTTCTGTAACCCTGCCTGTAAGAAATCAGGTACACTACTTGGGATAGTATGAAGGATGGAAAAGAGAGCAAACACCTATTTTGTCAGTAATTACCAGTCTAATAAAAATGAAGAGGTGTCTTTGTGCTAAAGGTGTGATGTTCACGTCCCCTCCTTCCTGGGGGACTTGCCTGGCCAACAGTCACTTGGGAACTGGGCTGATCCTTTCTCCATCAAACCCAACAGGGCGTAAAGCTCTGTCTGGAGGAGATGATTTGCAGGAACACGGTGCTAAACTGTGCAAGACCTGGAATTAAATGCTAGCTTCATTAAAGCTTATGGTAAAATTCCTTACAGAGCCAAGATTTCAGCTGAAGTGTCAAACACATTTGCGAAAGACCTGAAAAATGCCTTTTTCCAAGGAAGCTTCAAAGAGTTATTGCAATAGAAACAATAACCAGTAATGATGGCTGCTATCATATTTGTCTTTCGCTAAATTATGCCCCGCTTCCACGCTGTTAGCACTTTTTATTGCATATTGCTGCAAAGTCCCAGAGTTAACCTTTTTCCAACCTCAACCAAATTACACCCAAAGCAAATTACGCTGGTAACACAAGCTTCATGCTTTTGCTGCTACAAGACGTGAAAGGTGAAGGCAGATGGGCAAGACAGACACATTTCTCTGCCTCGCATCTGCGGCTCAACTCGCCAGGTCCCTTCTGCAGATGGGGCAGGAACACGAAACCCAGGGATTTGCCCAAATTCCCATTCCACCTCCGTGATGCTGAGCTGAGTTCAGTGCCAGCAGGAGCTCTGACTACACCGAAGGAGCAACCCATAATAATAATAGTAATAACAGGCACAGACTGCTGAGAACATCTTAGGAGAGAACATTGCCCTAAGGAAGGGCCTTATTAAAAGCCCAAAACACTAATGGCAGTAGAAAGCAGTCACCTTAATGCGATTTAACCCACTGCTCCCACAAAACCCTTTTTCTTTCAGCTTAGCAAAACACCTGGTGTTCTCAAGATCAGTGCACAGCCAAGGCTGGAGAGAGATCATATCAACCTGCAGCTCCCAACAAGAAGGACTTTACTCCATGCATTTTCACTGTGCTTTAAAAAAAGTAAAATGTCATAGCACAGAGTGCACCGATCACCCCAAAGATAGGCCTGTGTGCCCAGAGGGCTTGTTCCCATAGTCCCAGGGCAGCAGTGGGGCTAAGGAGGGACCCTGCTCCTTCCTGAAGATTTTGTCTGCTGGGAGTAGAGCACAGTTGCAGGGTGGCCGGACAACTCGCAAAGCAGCTCAGAGCTTACTGTCCACCCCAAAATTATTTGGAAGCCACCTGCAAGGTGCTGCTGCCAGCCGCTGCTCTACAGCACTTGATAAGCTCCAAGGTCTGAAGTCACCTCCAAGAGGTCCCCCCAGCCTGGTGCCCGGACATCCCACCCTGTACCACAGCCACCCCGGCTCCTTCTGCACCACTCCTCGATGTTTCGCTCACGGCTGACCCACATGGAGCATTTCCCTCACGATTTTAATCTCCTCCATAGCCAAAGCTGGGGCAAAAAGGAAATGTTCACGACATTCCTGAACAACAAATCTCTAAATAATGCTGAAAATCACACTCTGCTCTTAACACCAGGCCGGCCATCACACTCACTGCACACACAGTTCCCATCAGATCCATTCCGACTTTCTGCACTTTAAAAATATTGCAACTTTGTCTATAAAAGCTTTGTTGTTCGGATCCATCTCTGCCAACTCTAATTTGTCTGCACCCGTGTTTCATTTTTGAAATCCATCGCTTTCATTTCAGACCTGAAGAAGAGCCTATCTGTCAAAATACCTAATTTTTCCCAGCTGTACCTGTTAGCCTAACAGAAGATATTACCTCTATCTACAAGCCTTCTCCTGGTTGTTGAGAAAAGATTTATGGACAAGAAGTGTGATGGGATTGTGTAAGTGTGAGAAATCTCAAAAGAGAGTGTTCTTTAACTAGGACAGACGATGGAAAGGCTTTTTTTAAGGATGCTGAAGATGTATTTTAAAAAAATATCATCATTCTTTCCTTTATCCTGTTCCTCAATTTGACGATGAAAAATCTCTCTGAAACTGGTGAATCCAATATAAAAACAAAACCCAGCACAGGGTCAGCAGACCAAATCCTAGCTTTCTACCAAGCACTGGCAGGAGATACTTGAACCAGATTTGCTCTAGTGGATACCATTAAGTTCAGATTAAACAGTGCTGAATCCAATGAAAATTACTATTTCTATAAAGGACAAATAAGGCTATGACCTGGATGACAAAAATAAGAACTAAATCATGTTCTAGGGTACAACACTGACCGCTAACATGAGTTAAAAACAGATTCCCAATCCACTTTTTGCTTCGTTGTCCAGTGGGACATATTTGCTTCCATAACATCACCCTTAAGCAGAGAAAAAGCGGAATGAGTGACCAGATCAGCACCATTTATATGCCCAAATTACGCCAGGTTAAAACCTGAGGGGGGCTAATGTGTTTTTAAAGTATAATGTTCAAAAGCCTGCTGAGGTTTTCTGGGTTTTGACATCTCAAAGCTTTACCGAGCTTTCGCTAGGGAGGACATGTGGTTCAATCAGAGCATGACACAAAAGCATGGTGCTCCCACACCACGGTCCCAGCTCTGTCCCCAGCTTGCCACAAGACCCTGGGAGAACAACTGCGATGCCCAAAGCCCCTTTTACACCAGTTTTAAGAACATGTTGGCAACACCTTTGTGTGTCTGCTTCCACAAGGGGCTGTAAAGTGTAATTAAGTTCCACTTTGAAATTATCAGAGGGAAAGTGCTATATTAAAGTGCTATATAAAAACCCTATTAATTAAGCTTGCATTTAATATTCAGGTAAATAAATACACTATTGCAGGAAATTAGCTTCTAGTGATTGTGCAGCTACAGAGCTTGACAGAGCTGATGGGGTCAATCAAAAGTTGATGTCTTAATGCAACATTTTAAATTCCAGGTCCTCAGTTGCTCACGAATTCACTACTTCCCATCAAAACCAACCCAAGCCAGCACACCAGACTGCGTTAGTACAAACGGGAGGTAAATCCAGACTGGTGCAGTGGAAAGGTGGAAGGAAACACTTTTCAGCAACGTTTCACATCACATTAGTGTCTCGATTAATAATGCATGCAGAAACTTCTGTCCACGCTCTGTTCTGCCCACCTTTCCCATTCCCACTCTCATGCAAGGCAGGGACGGACTGCCCATGAAGAAACCTTTCAGCAGATGCAAAGTTGAGGTCTTTTACCAGACTTAACTCACAGAAACACTTATGTTTGCGTAGTTCTGTGCCAGTGCAAAAACTAGCTAAAACCAGAAGGTAAGCAGCACAAAACCTGCCTAAAGCAGCATCTACATTCACACACCTATAGAGATGCCTGCAGGCACACCGTAACTTTGACGGAGCTGTGCACAGCGCTCGTGGCCAGTGCTTTGCAAGGGGCTGGAAGGGGAAAGCAAGCCCCAGCAGCGGGGAATTATTTTCTACCCGTGTGGTTCTGAAGCAGTCCCGTAACCGCTCGCCCAGCGGAGGAGCGGCACAGCGGTGACTGCAGGCACTTCTGCCAGCTTTCTCCAGGCACAGGGTTTTACCAGCGCCCCAGCCACAGGCACTGCCTCGTCCTCTCTCCCGGCACCGTCGCCACACGCTTTAAAGTGAGACAGAATTGCAAAGACTTCGAAACGCCGAATGAGACAACGCAAACCCGAACATTGGGGAACCAACGAATGAGAAAGAGGGGAAAAAAAAAAAACACCCGGCGAGCGGAGAGAAATGACAAGGGGTAACCCTAACTCCCAGAAAGGGCTCACACCAACACCTGCTAGAGACCCGCTGCCTGCAGCACCGACGGCGGGGTGAGAAGGGAGCCGGGGAGGGGGGGACAGGGCAGGGAAAAGCTGGGGCAGGGAGCTTGAGGGACGGATGGACGGACGGAAGGATGGATGGACGGAGGGAAGGAAGGATGACGGACGGCCGCCTAAAAGCGGGGATGCTCCTTCTCACCGCTGGAGCGCCGGACGATGTTCTCCAGGAAGGTGTTCTGCGGTGCCACCAGCCCTCTCTTGCCCCCCGGCATCCTGCAGCGCCGGGCTCGGGGGCCGGGGGTGCGCGGCAGCGGCTGCAGCGGCGGCGGCAGCAGCGGCGGGGGGGGGCCGGCGGCGGCTGCTGCGCCCGGTGCCCGTGAGTCGCGCAGGGGCGGCCGCGGCCGCTCATGGTAGTGGCGCCCCCGCGGCGGCTGCAGCGCGGACTGGGGCCGCGCCGCGCACGGCGCCGCCGAGCGCCGCCGCCCGCCCCCCGATTCCACCCCCTCCCTCGGTTGATGTGTCCCCCCCCCCGCGCCTGCGCCGCCCGCCCGGGCCGCCCCGGGCCCGATATGGATGGGAGGAGCCGCGGTGAGATGAACCGAGCCGGGCTGAGCCGCCCCGGGATGCCCCCCGTGGGGTGTCCTCCTCCTCTGCGCGCTGGGTGGCTCTCCAAAACCCCTCCGTCTAAGTTTTCCCCCTGAGCCAAACCCCCCAAAAAATCAGCAAACCCAACACTAAATCCCCGGTTTTGCTTCTCTCACGTATTTATTAAGACGGCGTTCCCATGTGTTTTGGGGAAAAATGATCACAAAGTGCCACATCGCATAATTTGTGCGCAAATAACCACCGTAAAGCGCACTGAAACGTGTTAAAACGCCAGCCTTGCGTGAAGGCATCAACCGTTTGGGGAGGATTCGTCCCTTTTTCAGGGAGAGCGGGTGTGAGGGGGAGGCAACAGGAGGTGGATTTGGGGCTGGAGCCCTCTACTCTGTCATTTTATCCAGCTCCTGTGCCGGAGCTCCGAAGGAGCTCAGCGCAGACACCGCACGCTAACTGCTGCGTAAGCTCTTCCCCACTCTTGACCCCGCCGCATTTCTCCCTCCAGCCTTTTCATTACTCACACGGCGTCTTTTCAAGATACGGACAGGAAAATCCTGGAAGGAAATTCTCCACCTCTTGCTTCTGCCTCTGCTCATTTTGCGCGCAGCTACAGGCTAGCAAGGATCGTGGAAGGAAGCGAGAGATGGAAACCTGCTATTAGCTTGCCTAGGCAATCTCTGCACAGCATGTCCCAGTGCGCTGCTCTCTCCCACCTGCTTCCAGCACCCCCCTTTCCCATACTTGGTCCAAAAAGTTGCACTGAGGTCTCCTGCACCCATCCACTAAGTTAAGCACACGTTGCAGAGCCAGGACTGCTGCTGCTGCCAGCCTGCCCACAGACAGCTGCTGAAAAGCAGAGCTCTGGTTCTGCTTTCATTTAAATCAATGCAAATCAGGAGCAGCTCTATTACAATCACCTCGCGAATGCTGATCTAAAACCACTTTGCGAGGTGAACTATTTGTCAAACACTGGCTCCCCCCCAGCTCTGAAATCTTCAGGGCTTTCCTTAGTGGTGTGGTTTGAAAGATGCTCCTGCTGAGCTCTGCCCCAGATCCCAGGGAACTTGGCTCCCGCTAACCGGTGGGTGGAAGCAGCACCTTCCTTTCTTTCAAGTAAGCAGGAGACACATAAAGACGTCTGTTCACAGGCAAATACCGTGTGACCGACCTGTCTGGGCAGTATTTATCAGACCTCTGCTCACCAGCTCCTGCTGTTCCACCCAGTTTGAATTATTATATTCATTTTGCATCCTTGCTTTGAAACCTAGATTTCCCTTCCTGCCTCAGATACACAACATTTTATCAATGCATCGACCCCTTTCTTATCGACCCTTTCTACTAAACATCTCCATCACTTCCATGTAGGCAGCAACAAACTCCAGAGGACACCTCATTTTTTTCCTGGAGCACTGGATGAGGCTAAAGATAACCTTGAAAATAAGAGTCTGATAAGGAAAGCAAAGTGGGAACTGCAAAGAGATTCTCATCTACTTTTTTGGCTCTTCAGACTGTGCTTGCAGACAGCATTATGCCACCACCATGCAGGAAGCTGTCGGAAAGATCTGAGGTCAGTGTAAGTAGGAAAGAAGCAGTTGAGCAATTTCTTAACCAAAAATGCCCCGGTCACAACCAGCTGTTCTTAAACATGGCAGAAAACCTACTGTGGTTCAAAATGCCTTTTTTTTTTTTTTTTTTTTTTTAACAAACACAAAACAGAATTATTTAAGTCAACACAGTTGGAGCTTTAGGGAACTAATAAGTTTTAAAAACATTTTTAAAAGTCTGACCTAAATGTAACCACACTCCTGATGGAAGATCAGCACTTCCCCCCTAACTTTCAAACTTGGTTTCTTTAAGCACAGAAACAAGCTTTCCTAAGTGGTGCTAAAACAAAATGAGCGCATTGCTGTACCAGGATAAAAGAGCAACCACGATTGCTTCCTTTTCTTCTTCACCATTTCTTTTCCTCTGCAATTTCAAACACCTGTTTGGTGTGTTTTATGTCTTTACTTGTACTCCTACAAGAAGCCCAATACCCCATACCTACTGAGCAGCGGGCAAACATCAACTCACACAGCGAGCGGACACAGCACACGCTGCGAAGCTCAGCTACACCTGGTGAAGAGCTGACCCTTTGAATCTAAACCTAAAAAACAGGCTTATTTTACTTAAGGGAGTACTAACCATTTCAAAAATGGTTTTTCACAGAGCTGTGAATGTATTTTCCACAAATGTATGAACAAAGAATCCTCACCTTGGACCCAGGGGGCACCTAGAAGAAGAGGGAGCCATAGGCCAGCACTCACAGGTCAGACACTGTTCTCTGATGAGCCACCCCAATGCCCCAGGTCATTAAAAAATATGAGCTGCTGCTGAACCTTTCACAGCATTGCTATTGCTGTCGGTGTTTGTACATAACAAGGACTCGGGTTCCCTGGGAGCAGCGTGGGCATCCACCAGGAGCCGCCCATGTAGGTTTCAATGCCCTGTGAGCAGGACTGAGGGATGGGATGCCCTTGGCAATGCTCAGAGCTGTTTTCTAGCCCAAATGCACACAGAAAACTTCCCAGTCTGAAAACAGTAATCAGAGTGAGCACAAGTTTTAGTTGTAAGCAATGGGATTTGCACACATCAGTCTATGATCTCCAAAACTAGCAGTGGTTGGTTTCCGAGGGATTTGTGTCTTGTGACTTAGGGGTATATTGCTGAAACAGAGACTCATGTGGGAAACAGGGGAGAAGTCTGAGGCATGCTGTCTGCAAGTAAAGCAGGCAGAATTTGCTCACTGAAACCCAGAGAATCTGCACATTAGAACACAATAGAAAATACCTTTTGGTATCTGATGAGGCAGGAGTTCCTCAAAAAATCTTGCACCGTGGTTAAAGCATGTCTGCTGCCACACACTAGAGTGAGACAACAGGTAGGCCCACTGTGCACCTTTCTTCTCCTCAGTGGGGAGTAATATAAGATCATTCTCTTTTATTTGTTCCAAAAACCTGCCCAAGAAGCGTGCATGGGACTCACTGAAAATTGGTATGAGGCAAGCATCTCTAAGCCCACTGTCCCTTCGCCATTCAGGTGAAATCTGAGTTCTGAACTCACCAGGGGCGTGCTAGAGATCATCTTCGACATATGACAGAATTACTTGGTTTTTTTTTGACTACAGACTTCAGAAAGGAGGAAATAACTCTGCACATAGAGGTTTTAAACAGCTGACAATAACCAAGGTAATAGCTGGCAATACCAAGAATACTTAGGAGGGAAAAAAAAAAAAAAGTGTGAAGAGGGAATACATTACAGCTTCTTTCCTATTTCTTTATCTTTTGTTTCTTTTCCCTTTAGAAATTTGAAAAAGTGGTTTGACAGACAGAAAATCAATAAAAGCCCAACAAAAGTTGTTGCTTTTGATATAAAAATAAAAATTGAGGAAAATATTGATGAAAACTCAGAGCCAAAGTACTCACTGGTATCCGATTTGGCACCAGTGAGAATTCTTCCTTCTCTGTTGTGTCATACAAGTTAAGTCTCAACAACCTGACCCAGAGGTTATGGATCTCCCATCCCTTAACATATTTGGCAGACCAAGGCAAAGGGATGCAGAACTGAGATGCTCACAGCATTCAGAGAGGGTTGGGTAGCTGAGGCAAGCACACAGGAATTTGGAAGAATTAAGACTTTCTGTGTATCGTGCATCTAGGATGCACTCAGGATAGTGCTCAGTGAACGGGTAACTCAGTGATTCCCCTTTACATTTCTCATTCAGCATGGCCCTGTGCCATTTTGCTGGGATCCCAGCCAAACTCTGCTCAGGCATGGAGTGATTCATTTCTTCGTGGTGCTCTTCACTAATCTCCTAGTGCTTGGTAGGCATCAGTGAATTTCTGCATTTTTCCTTGTCATAGAGGGATCAGACAGGAAATGGGCACAGTGAGATTAAGGTCAAAATCAACCTGAAGTAAAAATCAACCAGTGTCCAACCTGAGACATCCAGCTTATGGAAAAGACCAGAGCAGGGGGCTCTGGACACCAGGCTCAGGTTACTCTTGCAGCTTCATGGAAGAGCCCTGTAACAGATTCAAATATAGGTCTTGCTTACTTTTAGCATGAGACATTTTAAGGACCTTGCCTTATTGCTTCACACCTTTCATTTTCACTAGCATGCACACCGAAGTTGTAACAGGCCAAAGGTGCAGAGACACTGCAAGCAAGTGAGGGAGATGTACATACACACACATATACAAAACTCTGTGTGGAATGTAACTGGAAATTGTGTCACAATGAACATACATAAGGGAAGAAGTAATTATCACATAGGTATAGCTTCTCTTTGGTGTACATGACTTAGAAATCCCAACTTTACTTTTCCACAAACTTTTCTTAAGCAGAATCTGAGGCTTGGGAAGAAAAGCCTGAGGAATAGTCTCATTTTATGATCATCGTTTTTCATATTTCACCTGCAAAGTCTGTGCTTCTGTTATCATCAGACCAGCTGTGCAGTCACAGGGAGCCATTAGAGCTTCCGAAATGACCTCAAGTAACTTCTAATTTAACCATGCCAAAACTTTCAAAGTCCATTATCACAGCACCAGGCAGGTTCTGCAAGGTCCAAACCAAGACGCCTGTGGAGCTTCTTGCAGGAAAGCAGGGAATTTCCTTCTCTTCAAGGGCACAGATTTCATATTTCTAATCCTGCAAGGAAAATTTTGCAGATGCTGCAGCACATTCACTGCTAGAAAAACAGGTCCCATCCTTCAGGAGAGAAGAGGTAGGAATCTCAAACTTCTGTTTGGAAACGTGAGGAGGACAGAGTCCTCTGAGGTAACCTAAAAAAAAAATAAAATAGTAAGGCCAGTACCACAGGATGGCAGCTTGTAGCTGCCTAGAGTGAGGTTTGAATAGATTGGATGCAGTCACAGAAGTCAATGGTGTGAATGGCTCAGTAGGTCAAAAGGGCACATGGAATAAGGGGAGGAAACATTACTCCAGCGTAAGGACAGCAAGTGTCAGCAGTGAGGTTAATTACGGGGGGCTCTTATGGGCCCACGCAATTTCCTCTTCCAGCCTTTCTTCCTGAGAAATAAAGCAATTGGAATCAATAATTTATTGTCTGACTTTGCAGAGAGAAATCACCGGATTAATTACAGAAAGCCAAGAAAAACAGACTGATGTCCTCCACTTGCCTTTTTTATTTATTTATTTTTAGGAGAAAAATATTTCTTTCCACAAATAAGTAATGCCTGAAATAACAACCTCCTGAAGATATGATTACAGAACATCCCCTTACCTTAAAAATCATACTCTTTAAATTATTTCTGCCAATAGTTGAATCATCACAGAAAAGGTTCAGGTTGGGAAACAATCCACAGTTGTATCTCCACAGATATGTTTTGTACTCAAAGTAGTGTCCAGCTAAAAAACACCTCATGGGGTGGGTGTTGGACTGCTTGGACAGCAATAGACTTCCGACGCCTCATTGGTGGGAAACAAAAAATGTTATCCTAACAGCAAAAAAATGGAGAAATTGTCAGGCAGTAGTGGATGAAAGTCTTGGTTAAGTCTTACAGAGACCCCAAAGAGTATAATATCCCCTTTTGCACTCCCATAGGTCTCAATCCTACCTACAGGAGCTGGGGTGCTATTAAATGAATAGCTGGAAATACACCACACTCTTCTGCACCCAGGACCCCACAAAAGGGATAGAAGGAAAGCAAGAACCCTACTGGAAGATGGAGCCATTTGCTTCATCAGAGCTAGTTTTCAGGCTTCCTGCACTCAGGTGTGGATAGCTTCATAGCTATGTGACCATGTTTCCAGGCTTTTTTTTTTTTCCCCTGGGGGTACTTCCAGGGGAAGATGCTTTTTTGTTTGTTTAAAGAAGTTAAAGCTGGAATTATGTGTAATCCTATGGCTCCAGGAGCTGGGGCCCTAGGTCTGATGTTGGCTCTTTTATTTTGTTGAATCTTTTCTCTTTCCACACTTAGCAGCATGCACTTATGGAAAGCCACCAGGCAAGCTGCACTGGCCAGAGGGAGGACAGAGCAAAGAGCCATAAGTGCTGCTCACAGCAGGATGGCTGGAGACAGACCTTTACTTCATTCTCCTTCCCAGAGGCAACACATTTATTCCTACCTTCAACACTTCCTTCACCCCCATCTCTGTGCAAGGACATCACATTCTGGAGCCTCTTCTGGAACAGGCAGGGGCTACATAAAAGCCTTCTCCAGAACTAGAAGTCCATGGTTTTCATCACACTCTACTTGTGTAGGAACATCTTCACGAGCTTAAGAGCTGTGCCTCAAGTACCCTAGGAAAAAAAAGAAAAAAAGAAATCAAGATTTTTTGGCAGCTGAAGCATCGACATAAATGGATGACATTAAATTGTCCTGAAAATTATAGACTTAAAAAATAGAAATGCTTTAAACATGGCTTTTGCTTCTAATTTGGCAGTCTAAGTTAAACATTTTATATGTTTTGGGTAAAAAATGTTATTATATTAGTGACACAGTTAAGAACAATGGGTCTTTCAATTTTAAACCATTTATATAGAATTGTATTAAAAAAATTGTCTTTGAGAAGGAAATTACTTACACTGGGGTTTAGCTCAGCCACGGCTTTCGGTAGAAATAGTCATTAGAACTCAGCATGGGGGTAAATTTTGAATTTAAACATACTTGCTAAAATTTATATTGCTGGAAAGCCAGAAAGTTTCAGAAATGAAAGTGCTGTACCTCTATGTACGTGTTCCTACGTGGTTCAATTAGAGGTTGACAAGAGACAGGCAAAAAAGTGTTCTTCTATAGGTAGAAAATTTAGACAGAACAGTCAGGCTAGCAATAATTAAATAAATATATAAATAAAAATCACCCAACAATCAGACCCAAATCCTCTTACTGCCAGCCTGATGAAGATGGAGAGAAGGATGACACCACATGCATGCTTGCACCAACCCTTGGTCACCTGCCCACTCTCTTCACAGACACCAGTTCGGCACGGAAACTTTAATTTCAGTTTATGGGTAGCAAAACTGAATACCCATGGATGCACCACATAACTGAGGAACCCCCATGCCAGAAGGCAGCTGAACATTGCCCTTACCATACATGTTAGTCCTCAATTTATGTCTAACTTAAATAAGAGAAAAAACAGATTAGAGAATCCCTTTTCCTAACTCCTAAGTCAAAACATCTGCAGGATAATGACACAAATTCCCCAGTAAACATTTAATTCAGCTACACAGTCTTGCAGCAGGTAAGTTTTCCACTAAGCCCACAGCTAATATGGCTCACGCAGTTTAGCTGCCCAGGCTTAGGATGAGTGCTAGATGGCTCTCCTTTTTCTTCTTTAGATTAATTCTGTGCAAATTTTCATATTTATTTTCACAGAAATAAGTCCTTAGGTTGGTATGTTTGTATCCTGGGTTCAGTTAAGGTGTTGACTCTTCAGAAAATTTGAAAAACTTAGCATGGAATTGCCTCTTTTTAGTCCAGTTAATCTCAACCCATCACCTCACTGGAGATGTTTTCTCGCATTAAGTTTTATTAGGGTTTGCTGCTGGCTCTGCAGAAACCATAACATGAACACAGAATCTGCTGACACACAAACCTTTCATAACAAGTGACACAGCTGCTACTCCAGCACTTCTTTGGAAAGCAGTAACATCTTACATGACTAATTGATTAGCACGGAAAAGGTGTCTCTAATTTGCTGTTTTATTGGATACACAGAATAATACAGCTCTTCACTAACAGGAGCAGGTCCAACAGATGAATCACAGAATCACAGAATTTCTAGGTTGGAAGAGACCTCAAGATCATCGAGTCCAACCTCTAACCTAACACTAACAGTCCCCACTAAACCATATCCCTAAGCTCTACATCTAAACGTCTTTTGAAGACTTCCAGGGATGGTGACTCCACCACCTCCCTGGGCAGCCCGTTCCAGTGAAGATGAGATGTAGTTAAACTGTAGCTCATACGAAGTTATATATTGAAGGACACTAAACTGCCTTAAAGAAAGGATGTTCCAAGGCATTGACCATGAAACTTACATATATATATATACACACACATTTCCAGATGTTCCTGGTGCTTCCCTTAAGAGTATAAACACACCAGGTAAGCAATGGAAGCTAAAACACACTTTTGTTTTTATATTGAGTGGCCAGTCTGAAGCCCACAGAGCTCATACTGCCTGCAGCATCTTTGGACTATGGAAGAGATCCTAATATGTATCATCCTTCAACCAAGTCAAGTCTCCGCAGCTGGAGGAACAACAGGGACCCATCCTGGACCAGAACTGCATGCCAGCCCTCAGGAGACCAGGGCTTCCACCACTCGGTCTGAAACTGCAGCTGCAGATGGTGCCAGGCTGTAACCTTTCCTCAAGACCTTCTTACTGCTTTAGAAAGGTGCACAAGAGCAACAAAGGGCCTGCACCACACCTGGGTCTCCTTCTGGGCCTGGCACAAAGTGAGACATCAAGACCAATGCATACATACATACACAGGGAGCTGCTCCTGGGCTTGGGCCTGAGTAACTCAAGACCATTTTTGGAAGAGATCTGCAAGCTTCAAAATGGGGTTTAATTTTGTTACTTGACTCCTGGGCTCAAGTCAGACCCATGTATTAGCCCTCTTTCATGCTTTGGAAATCCCGACTAAGAACTTTAAAATGCACTAGCTAAAAAACAGACTGGGGAAAAAGAAGAGGCGAGGAAAGAGAATCTCAGATTTCTTTCTGTCAGTGAATCTGCTCCAACCCTCCCTCCCCTCAGCTAACTGCTCTCCTTTTTTCATTTACATGGTCCTCCTGTGCTGAAGGCTTGAATGGGAGACTCACCTCTGAGCATTTGGGCTTTAAAAGTAGCAAACAATCACTGTTGACCTTGAGCAAATAGATATATATGGAGATAGGAGCAGATTTCAAGGAGAAGCTATTGGAGCAATTACCTTTTAGTAACTTAACCTTTGACATCTTTAAGCACTTCATTTACTCATGAAGGCAAATCTACAATCTGATACCAGCAATTAAAACTAAGCAGCTTCTTAAAGTGCGCTGATGGGAGCCTGGCCTGGCCTTCTAATGCAGAGTTGGCACTTAAGGAACGGTTTGTGATCCCCCAGGACCCATTTAGCAATGCAGAGCTGTCTGCTAAGATCCAAAACAAACTGTGCAAGCAGGCAAAGGTCAGAACCCCCAAGCAGCAGCAAGTTGGTCACCCAAGCGTTTGTACCTTCCTTGGGATTTCCTCCAGCCAGGGAATGCCCTGTAACCGCCACTCATCCATTCTTTCATGCAGGGAACACAAATGGTGAGAAGTCCTTCTGCACCAGTACAGGATTTTCTTCCCCTCATGAAGTGGAAATAAATCAGCTTCATGCAGAAGAGTTGCATCAGGTCAGAGAGCAGCACAGCCCCTAAAGGTCAGTGGGGCAACATCAAAGCAACCTGGGCACTTCAGAAATGTCACCACTACAAATTTCCCACTACCAACAGAGAAGATTTGGGTTGGGCACCCTGGGGAGCACACTGACTAAATGGACTTACCATCAGGGCAAAAGCTTGGGAAGCATCTGACCCTCCTTGCTTCAGGCACCATCTAAAGAGAGGTGCCATAGAAACATTCCTCCCCTTATCACCTGCAGGTTTCCAAAGTTGCATCAATTTCTCAGGCAAAAAATATGTTTTACTTTATAAACTCACTTCATAAATTCTTACCTTTGCTACAGGACTGGCCGTACTCAGTTGTATCCCTTCCACCTTTGCTCTTGCTAGATAAAAATGAACCAGACTCCTCTTGCCTTTTCTTTTATGATAGGGGTATTAAGAAGCTCAGGGGAAGGAAGATGCTGTGTGCCACTGATCCAATTAGAATTCCTCTTATCTGACCATGGGGGACCAAGATTGCTCACAGCATCCCAAATGCACTGGCAGGCAAAAGCTCTGCTACAGCTAGAGCTACTCATTTGTTTACTTCATTTCAAAACCATAACTGCTACTTCATTTTGGAAGAAATTAAAGGTATTAGGTTATTTAAGACCCATTTTAACATAAAGAAGGTAATTAAATCAACTTCTCAAAACTTAGAGCATCTGTGCATTTTTAGCCAACAATTCATTTTGATATTGCTTTATGAAAGCAATTCTCCTCAGCCGTACTGCCTAATTGTGTAGCATTATTTTCAAATGCAGCTCAGGTTAACCATAGACAGTAGAAAGCACTTCACCTAAAACATCCATCTAACTGCTTGAGTGTGGCAAGAGCACAGAAAAGGCTACAGTTTTCCAAATCCACACATGAAGAGGAAAAAGTTGCTTTTTAACCAGTGCTATAAGCATCAAAAATACACATCTCCCTCAGAACATGTGTAAAGAGTCCCACATACAGGAGTATGAGTGGTTGTAGCCATCGTAATTATCTCTGTAATAAATGCTACTTTCATTTTCAGCAACCACAATTTGTGTTTGCACTGTTGCTCCTTGCTACAGCCTTTTGCATTCAGTAATCAAACAGCTCGGGGCAAGGTTTTGTCCATAATGAAGAGCAGCAGTTGACTCTGTATTGCAGAATCTAATTTCTGTCAGAAAAAAAATATAATTGCAGCCTTACTTTAATTTATGGTTTGAAAACTGGAAGTCATCAATATAAACCAATTTGCACCAGAAACACTTATATTTTTCAAGTGCCGTTTGAGCTACAGATCATGCAAAAATCATCTGGATCTTAATTATATCAATCTCACTTATCTTCGTCTCAAGTGAGACATAAGCTAGACAAAGAAAATATAATAGACTTATACAGTTACTAATTATAAATCTTCTGGAAAAAACAGGGCCTAATCTTACTAATTTGCAGGATACAGGATTCCAGTCTTGCTGTTTTCAATCAAGCAAGTTTGAGATTTCTCTCTGCTAGGAGCAGAAATGCACATTTAATCAGCATAAACCTAATGCCCCCTGTTGGTTATATATAGCTAAATACATGGCATATACACGTAGGATTCCTCCAGCTCCTGCTGCTAAACAAATGCATTGTACGGAACATTTTAACTCTTACATTGGCAGAGGGATTATGCTTCAGGCTGACCTGAAGGCATTCCTCACGTCCTCTATGACAAAGGAGCCGCATCCTCTTACATGGGAAGCTTTTGTGTCTGTCCCAGTGATGGGAGCACCCTGCAACGACTTGTCCTGAGGCACAGAACCCACACATGGCAAACTGGAGCCATAGGGCCGGGGCCCTCTGGGTTACCCATTAGAGAAAGCAAAAAAACGCTAATTTGGGGTCAGGTTATTTCAAAGAAACAAACAAAATGTTATTTTCTTAAGCTTTTCTGTAACACTTTTTGATAGTTTCTGAGGAGACACTCAAGCTGAAAACTAATAGCATCTTCAGCTGGCTAACTTTTCTGTAGTCACTTTAAAGGGCAATTCCATGTTTAGGATAAAAAAAAAAAGCTACAGGAATAAACGAAATAAAGAGATTTACTTTTTCACCAAAAATTCATTGGCCAATAGGACGTTTTCTGTTGAGTGAAGGTGGGGTGAAGCTCTTTGCCCAGCTCTGGACAGCACAAAATGCTGAGATGACTGCTACCTGAGATCCCAGGAGCAGCAGCAGAGATAACAACCCCAGATAATAACCCTAGAGGTGGGAATCACTTCTGCAGGTGGCAGGAGGTCCTTTGTGCCCATCTCTGGCCTTTCAGCAAGGACTCCTGCCAGGTGCCTACAGCTGCATGCTCCCTGGCCCTCCTAGATAACAGATGTGTCAACAGAGGACGGTGCCAGGCTGATCCCACATGGCTGGCTGAGCATCTGTCCATCGGAAAGGCTGTGTAGAAGTATCACTCAGTATGGAAGTGATAAACAGCTTACACCTACAGAGCAGAGTAAAACACAAAGACCATTGCCTTGTCTTGACCTGGAAACAGCATCAGAATTGGAGACGCACAGCAGGAACTGTTGTCCTTCCACATTTTGCTGCAAATTGTGCCTTCAAAGTGTGGAGTATTTGTGTATTTTTGTGCAATTAAAGCATTTGTGTGGAGTGCTGTGACATCTATTCTTCGAGCCTGCAATGCCACAGACTCCTGCTTCATCAGAAAGGTGACCCAGAGCTGGTTATCAGCAAATGACAGCCTTTTCCTGCAGACATATGTGGTCCCCACTGTGCAGATGGCTGAACTGCCCAGAGCCTCTGTGACTTTGCGTTATGCTGTGAAGCTACAGCAGAGCCAGGAGCAGGAGGCATAAGTCCCATTTTGTTCCTTTACCTTAGCTTCTGGAGCCACTGCCTCTCACTGAAGGAATCTTGCCTCTGTCCTCGGGTTAAAAGCATACCAGTGACATTGGGATTAGAACTCAGTAATAATCTGTTTATGAAATGACAGAATATTAAAATGCATGGGAATGCCACAGGCATTTTGTGACTGCTGCTAGCCCAGCAGAAGCCTACTGCTGAGCAATCGTGGCTGTACCTCAGGCTATTCCTTCACTATTTCCAAGAAAATGGAAAGCAGTCACATACACAAACAAAACTCCCTCAGCCATGCCATGCCCAGCTGAAACCAGGACCTTTAGCTTGTCCGGTTTGAAGAACAGCAGAGTTATTTCTTACTGGGGGTCGCCTTAACTCTCTGCAACTGGCTGGCAGAGCCACTCCTACCCCTGATGGGCACAGCTTTTTTTTTTTTCAAGCCACCCATTTCAGGTCATGCCACGTTGTAAGTAGAAGCAGGTCCCTGTGGCAGCAAGTTCCCCAGGCTCCCAGGACAGGAGCCTGTGAGCCCCCCAGGTGCCACCAGCCCCTCAGTGCCATGCAGGGCACCACATGTCACCTGAGACTGGAGGTACCAAAACTCTCCCTGACCATGAAAAGTCTCTGGAGCTGGGGCTTTCTGCATATCCACAACAGCCATTGCCAGTGGCATGGGGATGCTCTTCCTGGGCACAAACCCCCTCAAGAGCTCAGCAGGGGAATGGGACATGCAGCTGCTGTGGTGCTGGTGAAAACAGGCCAGCTTTACATGGTTTTTATTATTATCTATAAAATTGACCAAGGAGGAGATTGGGATAGTGTTCATTCAGTCACCAAGCTCTCATCCTACCTTGACAGAGGGGCATCAGGTGCAGGTTTCAATATTGCACCCTGGGAGCAAATGTCTGCGAGCAAAGCCTCAGAGTATCAAACCTTGAGTCACCTCAGTCCTCTGCTGGGTTTGGCCAAAGCCAAGGATCAAACTCAAAGTTCCCTTCCCGTCTCTGGCATAGATTAGCTGTGCCAGAAGTGTAGGTGATAAAGCATAGGGTTCCTCAGTTACAACAGCATGCACACACACACACACAAGGCATGGCTGAAATTAGGGTTTAACATATGGGCGATTCAGAAGCAAGCTTTAAGAATAACTTTGAATCAAAAGCAGCAAAGAATAATCATGGATACAACTTTGAAATACCCGGTTGTTCCTTCATCAGAAGGAAGCGTAGTCTCCTCTCTGCCTTCAAGCTGAAGCAGCCTACATTAGATGGCTCTTTGGGCATTCACTATCAAAACGTATACCTTACTATGAACCAGCATTATATGGATAGAATTAAATGTCATTTCAGGTTTTTTAATAGAGATTTGTGGGTCTTTTTATTCTTCCATGCATTCCCCCTCCCATCATTTTAAAATAAATTCAAGAAAACTCATCAGGAGTAGAAGAAAGGGGAAACAGTGAGAGGAGCAATTGAATTTAAGTGATTTATATAATACAGAGTGACTTTATTCTGTGCTGGTGAGCCTGATGTTAACCTTGTAAGTAGCCCTTTGTGACCCCTAGGACCATGAAGATAAGAAAAGCAATGCTTTTAAAATAAAAATGTGGGTTACATCTCAAAGATTCACACAAATCCTCCTTTGAGACTGGAAGAAGGGAAGGAGAATCCAGCCAAAGAGGAGCTTAAAAAGCACATGTGATGCACTACAAATCTGTGTGACCGCTTAACAAAATTGGAAGAAAGAGAGCAGAGGAACACCTGCAAAGCAGCACTGAAGATTGTGTGTAATGCAAGCAAGCGATGGAGAAACTTCTGTAGCCTTTAAGGACTTCAAGTGAAACGCAGAATGCTCAGAGTTGGCTTGCCTTGCTCTCTGCTTGATTTGAATTTCAAGCTCTGATGTACAAAAAGCTTTGTCTCAATGAAAGGTTTTGAAGTCCTGCAGGACTGACTGCCTGGATGGTTTTGCTTTGAAGCTCTCTAAAGCCTCTCCTGTCATCGCTGTTTCACATTAAAATATATATTCTCCATTGCAGGACCTTGCAAAGAGATTTTCAGCTGTTCAATTCCCTTCCACACCCCCAGTCACATTGTTTTCTTCAGGATCTAAGAATATGCAGATTTAATGGAGAGATCTTTAAAAAATAATGCTTTCCTTACAGGAAACAATAAGCTAAAAGTCATTTGTTGTCTCCTGCTGGCAGATTTTTGCCAACAAGACAAGAAAACATAGAATGATCAGAATACTGCATGCTGGAAAGCAGGATTGTCTGCCTGTTGTAAACCACTCTTTTGTCCTGGTTACATCAGGTCTCAACATTTTTCTCCATGATTTCAGCTGCCTTCCGGTCAACTCTCAAACTCAATTCCACAAACAGAGCAAAAGACAGCAAAGGTAGGTGGTGGTTAGCATCACCAGGCTCTGCTGTTTCCCTGAGCCCTGTATTTCAGATTCCTGGCCCTCACCTGAGACCTCTCCCTGCCAGGCTCCAACAGCCCCTGCATTGTCCTGGCTACCACAGGATAAGTTTGCCTCTGCTTTCTTTTTGCAGCCTTTTCGTTGTTTCACCACCCCCATAGCACTACTCACCTCACTCTCCTTCTGCTTTCCTCCTGTTCATCACTTAAACTCCTGATCTGTTGCCTCTTAAACCTTTCTTTTTAGACGTAACAATCTTCACCTGCCTCTTCTGGCAGTTATTTTGGGATCACCTGTGACCCTAAACTCAATTCTTCATCTTGGTCCTCTCTATAATTCTGTCTGTCAAGAGCTGCAATTTCACCCTGAAAGACCCCAAAGTGAGCAATTCCCCTATGCTGCAGTCTCTTCTCACATGGGCTATCACAGCCCTATTTCTTGTTGAGAACAAGAAATTCATGTTTAAAAAAAAACAACAACAACAAAAAAACAACTTCCAGAGTCAGCTGAGCCCTTCAACCTTCAAATTAACATACCTATTCCAAACAGAGGTCATTCTCTGAAGACCTATATATATTTCTTTTCTGCTATACCCTCTTCATTTTATTTCTGGAAGCTTTGTGTTGACTTTGACATGTGTTTAAAGAACCACATTTGCAAAGGTGTGAGCAGCATGTCAGAATCACAACACACCTTTCTTAAAACAGATTCAGCAGTGCCCACATTTAGATCTATCATGGCATAGTAGAAACACTACAGCTTCATTGTCAGTAACACACACACAAGGAGGGAACGGGTCTGGTTTCTTGCTCAGCCACCTCTGAATGTGCAGCCAGAACGGCCAAGAAAGCATTTAGGTGGGTCAAGTCTTCAGTCTGGTATATGCCTTGAATCGATAGTGAAATGCATTACCTGTCCTAGCAACACACTCCTTCTTCAAAGTGTAGTGAAGATTTTTTCCAAAGGATATCTTCTCCTGGCCATTCAATACAAATAATGAAGAATCATAGACTCCATTTTAAGCATTAGTACAACCAATGCAAGTCAATATTAAAGAGTCAGAAGGGCATTTATATCCCTGTAAACAGATAATTCAGTTAACAGACTGATTTTGAATTTGTTGTTTTCCTACATAATTGTTTTCTCACTTCTTTTTGTCCTAGTTTTTTGTCTATCTTTCAAGTAAATAGAGAAACACAATGGATTCTGAAAACTGCACTACACTTGAATGAACCAGCAAACTCACCTAAGGGTATGATGTTTTTCCAAAGGAGGAAGCATTTCCCTCTTTCATGTTTTATATAATGAGTAATAGCTATCACCAATTCTAGGAAGATCTTAGGCAAAACATTATGTATTTCAGAAATGTAAATACACAACTGTGATTCATGAGCTGGCATAGTCATATCAGTGAAGAGGCACACTGGTGAGGAACACACTCTCTTTTAGAGATCAGAGCAACTTTAACCACACTAAGAGCAGGTGTGTCTCCAGTTACTCTACTGCCTTTGTTTGTAAGGCTGAATTTCATCTGTTGTTGAAAAGTAAAGAGTGCACCTCTGCTTTTAATGAGTAAGATTTACTAATCCCACTCTGTGCAGTCCAAACAGACTCAATGTAGAAAGTGTTAGCGCCTTTTTTTTTTTTTTTTTCAAAGCTTCTTCTCTGTTTTCCTTTACTCCACCTACTAACACACACCCATATCCTGAAGCTCCAAGTCATCTTTACGTTCTGAAGACCTGTTCAGGGCAATAACCTCCATAATTTCCTTAGATGTTCACACTGAATTACCACATTGCAACAACCCAGCTCTGATGCATTCCCAGTTCTCTGGGGGTTTGTCACACTGGCTTCACAATCTGGTGCTTTGCCAACCCCCATGCTTGCTCACCTGTCATTCCTGCTCTATTCCTGCTCTCTGCACCTTTCACAACGCTGAAAATGCTTCTTTGTTGCTGGTGGGCTGTGCTAGGTATTCAAGTGCAACACTCCCTTATTCTCCTCCCCGTGCTGCCAAGATGGGAGTAAGGTCTAATAAAGTTATTTTCTACAGAAGAAGGACCAGCTGCAAAATGTATTCTCTGTTTTCTCAGCCTCCAAACCCAACTGTAGGCCCCCTCCTCCACCAGCCTATCTTCACATAGACCCCTGCGTGCTTCCCCCTTGGCTCCAGAAATTTCCCTTCATCTTCTTTCTCTTATCCCCTCTTTAGGAGGCTATCCCTGCATCTTCTTTCTCTTCATTTTGCCAAGCCCCATTTCAGCCCCATAAATCTCCCCAGGTGAAACAGGAGCAGAGGACCAGACCATCACCCCAGTCCCACTTCAGCACTGCAAAGCAACTCCCATTCCCTCTCCCCAGCACTCACGTACAACTTGCCATCCTCCTGGAGATGAAATGACCCAACTGCCTCCAGCACTTAAATCCATCCAGCAGCTTTCACTAGAAATCATTTGAGCAGCTCTGTTTTATATCCTTCTGAGGTTTCTTAAACTGCTGCCCAGCTTTGATTAACTTGTCAAGCCCCCAGATTTTCTGTATTACTCCCTATTCCCTTGCTAACACAGCTTGCTTACTGTTGTTAGCTTTTGACAGCTGCTTTGCATTGAGGAGACATTTTCACTAGGTTCACAAGGATATCTTAAGCTTTCCCCTTCAGCTAGGAGGCCCCAAATAACTCAGAACCTGTGTGCAAGGGTGACACCAGTCTATGCTGATTTTCAATTTCCTCCAGTTTTCTTAGTTTGGAGCCTCTCAAATGGCAGATTTGAGGAATTAATATGAATCTGATCCATAAATAAATTTTGCCGGAAACTCACCAAGCTCCAAGACAGATGATGTCTTCCACATTCTTGCAGGACATCTCATATTTCTTACTGCTTTCCCAGGCTCTGAGGGAGTAGCGTGTCAAAGATGGCACGCAATCCTGCCTGGGCCGTCAAAGACAGAGGCTGAGTACTGCTTCCTGCTGAGAGGATGTCTATAAAAGAACATAGAAGACCTTAATAATAATAGAAAAAGTGGTGGACTCGCTTGAAGAGTGCTAGTATAAAATAGGAGGAGCCTTACTTACATCCTTCTGGGATTCCTCACGTGGATGGCCTGTTCTAACTAACTTAAGACATCTGTTATGGCAACAAATCTTAAGTTGCAGTTTCTCTTTTTGAAAGGTTCTTTGATTAATTGTTTTTCTCAATTATCAAACTTCCACTTTTGAGTGCAAACTTGAGAAGAAGAAGAAGAAAAATACTAATTTTATCTAGAAATCTTGGATATTTTCCAGGTAGACTAACACAAATGTACATATACCACTCCAGTTCCACTGACATGAACAGGGTTAATACAAATAGCATCACGTAAGGGTAGGAGCCTCTCAGTGCAGGTTTATTTAGCCATCTCCAGATATGTCTTTTCCATCCTAACAACTAGCTGGGTGCTTCTTCAGCCAAATCAAACCCATTTACCTGTGGAGGAGGTGTTGGTCACTGTCTGTTGCTGTACCAAAGCAACCTGATTGTACCAAGCAGGAGTAACACTGACCTCTTGTTTCTGATTCCCTGACAGCAGTGAAAAATGATAATTTGGGCAACCTGATTGAGGCAGATATATGAAACTAACTTATGTTTTTCTCTCTTTGAGAACTGCTCTCACAAGGAATTTCATCAAGAGAAAGTCAAGCCACAAATGAGCTCACATGACCCAAGCCAGCCACAAATGGTTCACTGCTCTGGTTGTTATTTAATGAAATATGTGAACCAGTATTAGGCTTTTAAAAGGATTTTCATGAGGTTTTATGACACGTCTTTTTGATTTTTATTGGTTACTTTCAAAATGTGACAGTTTCCAAACAGCTGTGGGGGGAGGGCAGCATGGGATGAGGAGGATGTCCCTAACTGCACTCTTTTCATTTAAATGCATCCTGTTCATTTTGCATTTCACATGCAACCTTTGGCAAGCAGATTACCATATCAACAAGCTAGGGAGGCAGTTTTATTTTCTCTTGTGATGTAGAGCCAATGCAGCTCCACAAATCAGATGTGTGGCTGCTGAGAAAGGTGTTAGAAGCAGAAAAGCCATTGTGTTTTTATGACATGGAATAAGAACACGAGGACAAAAAAATGAGATACTACCTCAGATGAAAGCCCCATTGTCCTCTTTCCAATACTGGCCAAGAACAGATATATGAGAAGGAATACAAGAAGGTAGCAGGTATATGAAAATACAGTGTCAGGTTACCCTCCAAAGCTGTTATACTTTGCAGTATAGGAGCTTCCTAAAACAGAAGTGCTTTCTTTGCACTTAGTACCCATTGACAGGTTCTTCCTCCATTACTTTGTCTAGTCGCTCTTTGAACCCTGAGCCAAATATATGAACTGAAAGCTTTGTTTGTTTGCAATAACTAATCTGAGGGTAGCAGCTGCCATCAAGACTGATTCAAAGTAGAAAAAAAAAAAAAAAAGTATAGTAAATCTCACTATTGATACACTCGGCTTCCAGGAAAACAAAACTAAAATGAACTATGCCAAACAATAAGCATTTCTGCAAGAGGTAACTCTTATACATATAAATAACAAGGTGGAAGTAGCAAGTCTTTTCTATAGTTCCTACTGGAAGTTTCCAATAATAGTCCTTGAGCTAAATGAAAAAATAAAAATAATAAAATAATAATAAACTCACAACTGAAAACTCTAATTGCAGACAGTTTGATCTTTTTTTAGTTCCAAGAAAATAAGCATCTCATTTCAATCAGTACTACCAAGCTCTGTCTCAGAGGACAAAAATATACTATAAAAATGAAAGTCGTCAGAGATATAGTGTCACTTCTTATTTCTTGGCCCTTCTTTGCTGTTTGTGAAACTTGTGTTGGACAATTTTTGTCTTTGTGAGTGTGGATCCCAAACACAACCCACAACTGTCAACTCTTCCTTGGACAGCCACTGTACCACTGAAATGCAATAAAATGATTGAGGACAACTGAGCATTTGGCATGGCTGGGCTTTGCATTTCTTAGCTCACAAATGCCACTTAGTCCAAACAAAGTTAATTTACGCCTGAAAATATCTCCTAATTGCTACCCGCTGCCAAAAACCATCTGATCAAGAAATCTGCATGGGGTACATTTTTTCTTGGTCTGGATTTAACCACAGTAGCATATTTCTATGGGAACATCACTATGCTTTTATAGATGCATTGGTGCTGCCACAATCTTTTCTCATTATTGCTTCCAAAATCTTATGGTCAGAGCCAACCACAGCTT